CGGGGCCCGCGGCGGCGGCTGCGGGGCGTGGGGCGGCGGCTTGGCCCTCGCCGCGGGGCAGGACAGAGCGGGCCGCCCGGCGGAACTCCTCGCTGCGCCACGTGTAGAGCAGCGGGTTGAGGGCCGAGAGCGAGCAGAGCAGCAGCCAGCTGGCGGCCTGCAGCGCCGGCGGCGCCGGGCGCAGGAAGAAGCCCAGGAGGCTCACCCAGACCAGGGGCTGGGTGCCCAGCAGGAACACGCAGCAGAGCAGCAGGACGGAGACGCTGCTGAGGCGGCGCTGGGCGCGGCGAGGCGGCGGCGGCGCGGCGGGGAAGGGCAGCTGGTGCAGCAGGTGGAAGTTGAGGACGCTGACCCGCTTGGCGCTGCCCCGCACCCGCCGCACGATGCCGAGATAGCAGTGGAGCAGCAGCGCGGTCTGGCCCAGCACGGCCAGGGCGAGGAGCAGGGCGGTGTAGCGAGAGCTGCCCTCCGACTGGGCTGAGCCCAGGGTCCAGAGCCCGGGCAGCAGCGGGACCGGGAGCAGGGCGAGGGCCCAGGAGAGCCCGATCATGCAGCCCGTGTGTCTCCGCTGGTAGAGGGCCTGGTACACACTGGGCAGCTTGGTGATGAGCACGTACCTGTTGAAAGCCACCAGCAGGTGCGAGGCCAGGGAGACGGTGAGGCCGAGGCCCAGGAGCCCCCCCCGGAGCAGCCGGTACTCCGCCGAGCGAAGGGAGGAGGAATTGGGGGGCAGCAGCCCCAGCACAGCCTCCTGGGGCATCCACAGGGCACACACGCTCAGGTCAGCCGCACAGCCGTTCACGATGAAGGCATTGCTGGTTGTCTGCAGCTTCTTGAAGGAGAAGACTAAATAGATGACCATCACATTGGATAAAGTTCCTGAGATAGCCAAGACTGCGTAGAGCAGCGACAGAAAGATGCGGGTCCCAGAGGAGTCCTCCCAGAGCAGCAGCAGAGGCGAGCTAGCACTCCAGGAAGAGGCGTTGGGCATCTCGCTGAATGCAGCTCAGTTTTGACTTTGCCCTGTAAATCCCATCCTTATCTGGGTCAGAAGTTCTGCTGCAGGAGTCCTCACCAAGCACATGGGAGGCTGTGCAGCTGAAGGACTCTAAGGCAGGTTTCAGTCATACAAGCTGTAAGGTCCAGAAAATGCTGTTTGCAGTAAGGATCCAAAAACCAGCAGTGTCCAAGGCAGGTAGGCAGCAAGAGAGTCCACAGATTGTAGCTGGTGAAGGTGGGTCCATAGGGAGGCAGATGGCTGTTGGCAGACCAGAGCACGACTGAGGTTTCTGTAGCTGTGAAAACAGCAAAAGCAGCAGCACCTTGCAATCGGCAGCAGAAACGGCAGCAACTGATACAAAGCTTTGCAGTTTCTCCTGTGCCACAGTACGTACAGTGTATATCATTCCAGGAAGATTCAGCCCTTCCACTCTTCATGAATTATTCAGCAGATTTTCAACTTGTTAAATCAAGAAGGAAAAAAAAAAAAAAAGCCAAACCCTATCATGCTCCAGAAATACTCCAACTACACAGTCTGACTCTTTTCTCCCTGCCTTACCAGTCTTCTGGGTCTAACCCATTTACACAACTTTCATGTGAAGCAAGGTTTTAAACCAGTCACTTCTGTGTGAAATACCATCCATAAACTGTAGAAATTCTTCTGCTCGATACTCACTTTTTAACAGATTTTTTTCTGATCTTTTTTTTTGTTAAGAGTAAGCTCAGTATGCTTCTGCAATTTTAGTTAATTTTAGAACTGGTCTATAATAACAATATACTTTCCAAATGAAATCTTTCAAACTAAATAAATAGACCAATCCTTGTTAGACAGTACTTATTTGAGGAAGCTGGTTCTCAATCTGAACATTTAACATCTCTTCATAAACCTCAGCCTGTTTCAACCCACAGGAAATCCTACATTGCCACCCTGCCAGAGGTGAACACTGGTGTTGGTGAGCACACAGGTAACACAGGATCTGTGTAGTATTTGAAATGGTCTCGCTCCAAAATGAGTTCCTGGAGAGGTGAATAACAGCTCCCGAGGTGGACTAAAAACAGATTGAAGAGTAGGCATTAACAGTCCATAGATGGAGAGTAATTAGTCATGGGATTATCCCAAGAACTCCACCCTGCTGTACTCAAACAGGGACAAAATGGTAACTGTCCTTAACCTGGACAAGTCTTAATAAGAAACTCAGTAAGAGGACTTACATTTACTTTGAAAAGCTTTTCAGATACACAATGCTGGTTGACTTTGTGATGAGAAAAAAACTGCTTTTGCAGGTAGATTAGGTATAGGCTACAAAAGAAAGCAATCACAGCTTGTAAGGTATTATCTGTACTAGAGACCTTCATAAGGCGTTTTTAGATATTAACTCCTGATGCTAACAAATAGCAACATCAAAAGAATGTATTAGGACGTAGTTATAGTTGCAATATACATTTTTCAAGTTAAAAAAGTTAAATTGTGTGGGTTAATGGATGTTGCAATACAGCATATCTTTTATTTGATAAAAAAGGCTCATGTTAACAATTGGCAAAAATATTGATCCAAAGGTGGATTTGTTACAAACATAAATATCTATGTTCACTTTTAATTAATTAGATGGCTCATGTGATTAAGGTTAAAGACATACCTCAGTGATTTACTTGATCAGGCCCTTAATTACCATATTTTTTGCCTGCTGCACTTTACAGCGTAGATCTAATCAAGTGTCAAACCTTTTGAGGCCTTTCATTGTTTAGTTGTCAGTAAAGAACGGTTATTATAGAAACTAAAATCCTCCTCTTTCTGCAGTACTGTAATTGAAAAATAGTCTCTGAATTTGTAACAAGAAAACCTCCCTAACTGAAAAGCTTTATAAAGCATACTTTGAAAAGAGATTATGATGATTAACTGTTTCGTAAGATGTTAGCCACAGAATATTATGCCCAGTAGAGACCTGTAGATTTATTTGATCTATCCATTCATGTTTTTAGAGATCTTGTGCACAACAGCTTGTTCTCCCAGAACCAGATATATTCATATTGGAAGGAACAGAAATGGTAAAGTTCAAGGACAAGTGATCACAGGATACAAAATAAATTTCAGGCTATTTCTTAAAAGCTACAAGGTTCTGAAAGACCTTCCTGACCTTTTTCTGTTCCAAATTTTTTTGTTGTTGTTAAGAAGTTGATTGTTGCAGAATACTGACTTATTTATGAATAAAAAAAAAAGTTGTACATAAGCTGGTATTTATGTATTTCATCTAATAAATCAATTAAAGTCTAGAAAAAGGCCAAGGGAGAGGTTGATTCCTATGCACTAGAAACCTTTTAATTAGCTATTTTAAATGTATATTATTTACTCTGCACATCCATCACCACCCATTATTCATCCAAATGCAGTGGCAGAAGCCTTTTGTTTTTTTAGATCAGACTGTCACCAGAATTTGGGCAACTTGGAAAGCATCCACTCTATTCCCAGCTTTCGCATTCCTTTAGAGTGGGTGTGTAACAGTTACACACAATCTACATCTATTGCAAGAGAAGCTGCCAGGCTAATAAATATTAGATAAATAATCATGTAATGCAACGAATTTGCTGAAAATCAGCAATAGGGTTAAACAAATGTTAGAACCATTTGTGATTAGTTTTAAATTGAAGGAAGGAAAAAAAGCTAAATTGTTTAGACTCTTATACACAATGAACCTTCTGTTGGTAGGACTAACCAACCTGTTGCATATGCAAAAAAGTCAAGGTATATTACACCTGTAACAAGGGGCCTCACCCAGGAAGGATTCCTCAGTTCAGACACAGCTTTGAAATCACTGTATTTTGAAATATAATGCCATCATCATAATATCAACATGTTGATTAAATACCTGGCATTGCACAAAGCATAAGCAAGAACCTTTAGAGAGATTGTTAAAAGAGATACCTATCTTGCTAATGGTCTTTTGCAATGTTATCCTACTTTTAAGTACATTACATGGTTTACAGGAAAGAAGGTGACTTTAAAAAGTTATCTTCAATTAGAGATCAAATAACCAAAAGATCTAGGAAAAAAACCAAGAAACAAGGAAGCTTGTTTATACAGGCATTTTATTATCAATTAGCTGCATATATATATATCTACATTTCAAAATTAATCAGTATTTTATTAAGGAAAACTATTTATAACAAAGTAAATGAAAAAATTCTTTATGAGAGGTAGAATTACCTTATTAATCTATAATTCATATACAGTATATTGTATATATATACACACATGCTACTTTGTGTGTATATTTTACATATACACAGTTGCAAAAATGTACAGTATTGCATGTAAATTTTAGTCAGTGATTTTCATTTTTATAGCTGCTCTGAGTATTGCTTTTGAACACTTTCAGTACAACTTTCCATAGCAATTTGTGTAAAGCAAATGCAGGGTATTCACAGGTCTTCAGGAACAAAGACTGACAACTGAACTAAGTTTTATTTTCAAGTTTCTGCAGATAGTGGAAAAACAAACAGGTAACAAATCTGTCTTGTTTTTGTCTTGCACATGAGGGGCAAATAAAACCCTCACAGTTGCTTATATTCTTTTCCTTACCATGCACTTGTGAGTTCTGAAAGTTTTACACATGATCTTTAGTACCTCCCTGTAACACCATTTCACCCTAAGCTTCGTTCCTAACCACATCTGACTGACCTGTACATTCCACAGAGTAAAGAGAATCTTTACTATGACAAAAACCTTCCATGATACAGGAGGCTACCTCGGCCATATGCTTAACAACAAATGTACAGGTTTATGAAGCATCCAATTGATAGATAAAAATTTAATGTATGTCCAACATATACTGTGTGTTGCTAAGGAAACTGTACACATACTGCCAAATGTAGGTTAAAAGCATGCAAGTATGCAGTGCTACCTAATTCATTGTACATTTTTACCAACTTCAGTTTGGTCTGCCTTCATTTTTGCAGCATATATTGCATAGCAGAAGTTAACGCTCTACATTGAAAACAAAACATAAATCCTTTAAGAAATTGAAAGAGCGTTAATTGTACAATTGAGTCATCACATAAATTACTTCTTTGTTGCAGCAGAAGATGTAATTACATCACATCTCAACAAATATTTTCCCTTTATTTTTCTTTCATTGTGTTTCCTTAAGAAATGTTAGCAGCCAGAAATGGAAAGCAGACTATGTATCAAGTGCTTTTTGTTGATATTGTAATAACAAATCTCTCACTAGTTAGACTTCCATCAAATTACCAGAAGACTAATTAGTAAAAAATTATATTACATTAGGCTCTAAGCAATAATGATGGACCCATAAAACAAGAAAAATCTCTTGGTCATAAAAAAATTGTATCTTTGATAAACATGTACAAATTCTTTAAAATACACATTTTTGTAGCAAAGTAGACCCTAAATTAAAATATATTCTAGTTTTTACATAATTTTTATATATAGTTTACCAAAATATTCTCTTAATACATATTTTAACACTGTACACATGTTAATAAATGTCTTAATGAAACTCATTAGAAATATATTCAAGCTGTCTCAACATAAAAAATTTAAATCTGTATATAACATGGGGTAGTAATTTCCATAAATTCAACTTCAGTGCATCTGCAGTAGTCATTAACAATAAATTTCTGCCTGTTAAGAAGTCTCCTCTTGGTGTTAAGAAATTAATACATCCTTGTATTGAAGGTTCCTCCTTTTAATGAGCAGCTTCTTTTCTTCAGTTCTTCTCCATCATGAAGGGCATTGATTTTGAAGAGCTCAGCAGATTTCACCAAAGCAGCAAGGCTTTAGTACTGAACATACCCAGACTGAAGGGACTGTGCAGAGAAGAAAAACTGGTTAAAACTCACTGGAGAGGTTTTATTTATATATATAACATATATTCTTCATTTAAAGAGTAGAGGAAGGACAGAAATGAGGAAAATAAACAGAGTTGGGAGGGACCTGAATCTCTACATAGGTAAAGATGAATAAAATAAAAGAAATTAAAGTCTGAGCAAAGTCCATCAGCTTTGCCGTATCTACACTTCTCCAAACCAGTTTCTTGAGAATTTTAATAAAAGTGTTACAAATCTTTTAAAATACCACTGTTACTGTAATTGAATTGTTTCCATTTATCCTGAATGAGAATCCAACTGCTACTGTGAAAGTCAGCTTACTTTAGATGTTGATTCAGATGTTGATATAGGAAACACACGATGTAGTTCATTATGGAGGAAAAAGCTACATCAGTAATTACACAGATGCATACGTTTATGTATGACTACCAAAACCAGATGAAAATAAAGCACTGCAAATGGTTCATCTGGATTAGTAAGAAGTCAGTATAATTAAGAGAAAATCACAACCTGTTCTATTGTATTTATTTACATTTCTGTTTCTACTGAAGTCTGAAGTTTTATTAAAAACTGAATAATCAGCTTAGACAGTATCCAGTCATTTTAGTAGCTCCTATACAGATGTGTTTAAG